TACAGCAAATTGAAGCAAAATTAAACAAAAATACAAGTCAAGCCATCAAAAGACCACAACGAAAACCACCTAGGGAGCGACAGGTGCACACAGGGATCCCCACAGAGGGACCCCCGAGGCGGTGCCTACCTACGACGAGCGCAGGCAGACACCGCCAAAGTGGCGCTGGATGTGGTCAGCGTTCATCTGATGGACCAGCGCCGCAAAGCGACCCTTCCACCGAGGAACAAAGGCCTCATCCAGCCCCGGCTGGTACACACCACGGGCCTCGGCGCAGCGGGCGAGCTGACCAAGCAGATCCACAAAGGAGGAGGCGAACCCACCGGTTGTCGTCATCGCCGCAGGGACGATCAGAGTTTTTCCATGGTTGAAACCGGTGTAGTAGTCGCGCTTCTCCTTTTCGGCTCGGCGAAGGGCAGCGCCCACCTTGATGCAGGCTTGCGAGGTGGTCGGGGGTTGGGCTGTGCGCACAGTCACGTCAATGCCCAGGTCGGGCAGAGCTGGGCCCAAGGCACCGCCGGGAAAGGGGTTGCGGCAGTGCAGGTCGATGCGGCAGCTCTGACCGTTGGCGTTGTAGCCAGACTTTTCCACCCAGACATGGGAGAGGGTGGCGTACCTGAGCAGGCGGCCCATCTCGTCGCGAAGGGCGTTGTGTCGCTTGATGGGACGGCAGGTCAGCAGGTGCTCGCGGGTCAGTCGCGGCTGAGGCGTCTTGCTGCTGCAGAGTGGGCACTTGTCCGTCGGCTTGACGTTGATGAGTTCATGGAGGCCAAAACCCATCATGGACACGACCGCAATGGCAAAGGTCGTGTCGCTCAAGCGACGCAACTTGTCTCGACCCCGCATGGTCAAGACAGTGCTGGCAGTGTAAGTGTAGGCCGATGCAACAGCTCTGACCGGTGGTGTTGCAGCCAAGCTTCTCTAAGCGACTCTCTCTGGGCTACAGATGGAGGCGAGCCTTGCAAATCTGGACGTTGGCAGTCAGGTGCTACACCGAGCCCGTCAGAAAAACGTCGCTGAGATACTTGATGACCTTACAGCGATAGCGTTGAGGGTTAGTACCTCGCAGGAGGAATGGGCAAGGAAGAAGGGCGACAAATTTTTGTCTTGCACAATGCCACGACTTGATCCCCGGACGCCTACACGCCTACACTCTCTATGGCATGCTATCCATCACAATAGGAGCCAGTCTGCGTGCTCCGTGTACTCTACAATGTTTGGCAGAGACTGCTTTGCTTGATCGACTCCTCACACCTGCTGCCTCGGCTTGTTACTAAACTTGCGTTTGAACACCTGTCACACTTTCCTATCCATGTCATCGAGCAACCATATTTTGTGGTGAATCTCGTTTCATTGCGAGGGCGGGGCCATGTAGCCGCGTGCGTGCAGCTGGTCACACAGTAGCTTCACCTCGTTCATAGTGTCGCAAAAGACCATCATGTGCACACGCTTCTCATTCACCTGACGCATGCCTCGCTGCGTGTTCACAATGGCTTGCACGTGCGACAAAAAGCTCGGCTGATCTCCATGGCAAGCCCTTCAAACAGAACGCAGGCCTTGTGGCGAGGCATAGAAGCAAACTTTTTTGCGGGTATGCTCAGTGATGCGTTTCAATTCACGTGTAAATATTCTCCCTCTTCTCCGCTATTTTTTTCAATCGCATTTCGGGTGCACATCTCTTGTGGTCAGACAGCCATGTACGCCTGAAGAGCAGGCGGGGACATTTGGCCACCGAAACGGTTGTAAACCGGGCTACTTTTCTCTTTATCACACACCTTCATATTTAGTAGAGGGATGGCACCTCTTGTGTATGCGTCTACATGCCGTACGCTTGAGCGCAACAAGGCTGCAGATGATAACTGGTTCCATAGCCCCTTGACGCCAGTGCATTGGCACTGAACATCCACTCGACCACAGCTCCAGCTTCAGCTAGCGTCGCATCTTCGGCGATAGCTTGAGGATTTGAAGGGGAAGTGGTGAGGCATCGAACATGATCTGATTGACGATAATGGGAGTCAGCAAGAACTTTATAAAAAGGATCTCCTGGACAATCTTTTCTCAGGGGAAGGGTTTCTTTCATGAGCTCACTCAAGCGTGTCTCATTCAGCAACTGTTCATCATTTGACAGGCCTAAAGAAAGCAGGCAGGTCACATCAGTAAATGAGAACACATGAACATGAGAATACATGGGAATACGATGATTTTATTTTTATTTCTAAGTGTGTGCGCGTGTTTCTCGTTGTGATGTACTGACCCGGCCACGGGCCCAAAAAGGATATCACGAGTCCACATGGCGAGAGCACGCCTTGAAAGCAAAGCGTATTGCGCTAATACACAAGCAAGGATGGTGACGAAAGGTGAGTCAAAATGTTATGATAATAATGACATTGTTATTCCATAACGATCACCAAGGCAACGATGAAGCGAAGATGTGGCATGCAAGAACACGAGAAGATGTAGGATTCAGTCTCACGCGTCCTGCGCCAGTAGACAAAATCTGTTGCCTGACGGGGTGTTTCGGTGTCAGGCTCCAGCACGTCTGGAGGCCGTCTTTGGGTTGCGAGGAAGCGCGTAAGTTTGAGGAAGCGTTTTGAGAGAGGTTTGAGAGACGTCCGTCGGAACGGAGCGAAAGCTTTGATGGTGTCTTGAGGTCAATTGAACCAGCTGCGGTCGGCAAGCATTCACAGTGACCAGACCAGGTGCACCGTTAGAATAGCTGTAGAGTCGCTCAATCCCGAGGATAGGGAAAGATCACAAGAGAGCAGAGCACACAGGAGAGCAAGGGGAAGACAGAATGGCAGGGGGCTTGACGTACCTGCGGTCGGCAAGCATTCACAGTGACCAGACCAGGTGCACCGTTAGAATAGCTGTAGAGTCGCTCAATCCCGAGGATGGGGAAAGTGCCACTCGTGCCCGACCGCAGGTGCCACAACAAAGGGAAACAACAGTAATCACAGCTGCCCAGGCATCGTGGGGACCGCGTCACACGCGGAGTTTACTCATGTGACTCCCATGAGGAGGATGAGGCCCAGGGGGTCCAAGTGTAGGTGTCAGTGTGAGGTCGTCGCAGCTATGGGATACCAATAGGAAGACCCATAGCGACCGATGCTGAGTGTGTGCGAAAGCAGTGGGAGTGCTCAAATGCGTGGAAGCACGGATTTGACGCTAACATTCGGTCGACACACAGCAACCTCGGTTTCGCCGACCAAAGCAAAAACATTGTTAACGTCATTGGCAACACTTGAGAAGGCGGCGGCAGCATGGGAGACGTGAGGGTCTCGAAAAAAGCGTCGATCAAAGCAAATCATTTCTCTATAGCAGCGCAAAGATATTGATCACCTGCACCAAAGAAGACAACAATGTAGTCACCCCCAGTGCAGATCATGTCGCCTCACATCACAACAGGCAGAGACGCACGTTACCTTGCTAATCTTTGAATCGGTCCAAGTCACCCCCAATGCCTGCATCAACGAGGCGTCGCTTCACTCGCAAAAATGCGGCAAAGGTCAGCACGGCCTGGCGCCTTCCGACGACAAGCTCGCGCTCATTAAGATCCAAGGCATTCGCAATGCGTTCGAACTGGGCCCGCCCAGTAAAGCCAAAGTGGAGTTCCCAGTAGTCATCTGGAAAGCCATCAAAGTCAATAGTCGTGCGGCGAGGTGTACTTGGGGGTCGGGGGATGCAGTCCCGCAATTGCTCAACGACCTGCCGGCAAGCTGACAAAAAATCATACATCCAGTCTAAGATCTCCCTCAATACCCATGTCCATTGCCCTTGTCGCCGCCGCCATCGTGATGTTGAGGATAGACGCGAGCTCCTGTCCCATAGCTGCCTCGTGTGCTCGCAGCATCTCCCGCCGCGTCGCCGCCGACAGCCTCTTGTCCCGGAGCACCTGAGCGCGAGTCAAAAACTTTCGGCGCGTTCTCATGATGACGGCAATGTGTCCGTAACGGTCACAAAAAATGTTCTTCAGTCTCCGTTGGTCTCCTCGAGTCTGCAAGACGTCTTTTGTGACACTAATTTTTTTAAATTGTCTTACATATATAATAATAGAGACCCCGGTCGCTGTAGCTGCTCCTATAGCTCAGTTGGCAGAGCGTTGGTCTCATAATCCAGAGGTCGCAAGTTCGAGCCTTGCTGGGAGCAAGACGATTTCTTTTTTTGCTTTTATGTTTTGGGTTTGGGTTTTTAGGGCGATTTGTTTTTTTGTGATGGCCTTGATGACACTGGTAGAGCTGGTGGCGATCATGGCATTGATGGCGATCACGGCGTTGATGGCGCAGGTGGCGCTTGAGCAAGACACCTGCATGTTATTGGCTACTAACGTCTCGACCATTGTGTCTGACATTATTAGCCTTACAACCACCACCACGTGTGTGTGTGTGTGTGTGTCACACGACACTCGAAAGACAAGATTTTCTATCTCTGTCGCTGTCTCTTCCGTCTCGATCTCTCTCTGCTTTCCTTCTGCTTTCCCTTTGCCTTTTCCCCTCTTATCTCCCTCTCTTCTCTCTTCCCTCTTCTCGCTGGCTCGCTGTCTCTCTCTGTCTCTGCGCCTCAAGTCACTTTTGGGTCTGCACCCCGATCACATCGGTACGTTGGTGGTCCGACCTCATGGTGTGCCGGCTCTTGGTGAGGCTGGCTTCCTCCCTTCCTTCCTTTGTCGTCGTCCATCCATACCCCACGTTGTGCGGGTGACGATGAAGCGGGCGCTCGGGTACCGGAGGTTCATTTGTCAACGTGCCAGCCCGCCGCGCTGTTGACCCTTGTAAATTTTTTTTTTTTTTTTTTTTTTTTAGATACGCAAAAGGGACGTCATGGCGTTGTCATTGTGGGGGCAAATCTGGCTGTGCCTGACCACGGCGCAAGTGGCCACCCAGGATACGGCGCAAAAGGTTGCAACGGGCGTGGCTGGCGTGTCTCGGGCTACCGCCTCTGCCGTGCTCAACGGGCCTGGACAACTGGTCACCAAGACCAAGGAGACCGTGGCCTACTATCGCGCCGAGCCAACGGTGCTGCGTCGCGAGCTCGTGTCCGGGTTTACCATTGCAGTCCTGCAAATCCCCGAATCGGTGGCCTTTTCTTTTGTGGCTGGCCTGGACCCCATCTATGGCCTCCGGGCAACTATTTTTCTCGGCTTTATCGCCGGCCTCATTGGCTCGCGACCAGGCATGGTCAGCGGCGCCGCCGGGGCCATGGCCGTCATCCTGGCCGACCTAACGGGGCCAGGCGGTGAATGGCGCGACGGGCAGTTTACCGATGGTCAAGTTGACGACCTCGTCAACATCACCCTCATGATTACGGGAGCCATGCAAGTCGGCCTCGCCCTCTTCGGCCTGGCCCGCTTTGCCCGCCTCATTCCTTTCACCGCCATGATTGGCTTTATGAACGGCCTTGCCATCATCATCCTGATCTCGCAGCTGACAGCTTTCCAGGAATGCCCAAACGACGAATACGCCGTTTGTGCCCGGGCAGACACACTCAAATGGATGCGCATCGATGATGGCCGCACCTGGATGGTGATTCTGGAGAGTCTCATGTCCGCCGCCATCGTGGTCTTCTTTCCTCTCTGGCGAAGCGTCCATCGCTACGTGCCCGCCGCGCTCGTCTCGCTGGTGGTCGTCACTGCCTTTGAGCACGCCATCAACCGCACCGCCATTGACCTGCCTACCCGTACCGTTGGCGAGACAGCGCCTTTGGCTGGAGGCTTTGAGGCCCCCCGTTTTCCAAACAAGCCCGCTGGCGCCGAGTGGGGGACCATCTGCCTCTACGCGGCCATCATGACCATGGTCGGTGCCATCGAGTCCATCATGACCTCCGAGGCCGTGGCTGAGCTTCTGCAGGAACCCAACAATCGTTGGGCGTCAACCCAAGAGTGCGTCGCGCAGGGCATTGGTAACTTCATTTCCGGCCTCTTTAGCTCCATGGGTGGTGATGCCATGATTGGCCAGTCCACCGTCAACGTCATGAACGGTGCCCGCCACCGCCTCTCGACCACCTCGGCATCCGTTTTTCTTCTTATCATTGTCGTGGCCCTCTCCCGCGCCATCGAGGTCGTTCCCGTCGCCTGCCTGACCGGCATTCTTTTTGTGATTGTCACAAAGACGTTCCATTGGCCGACCTTCCGATTGCTCTTTCAGCTCTCCTGGCCCGACAGCCTGGGTATTATCCTTGTCACCGTCCTCGCCGTTACCACCAACCTGGCCTACGCCGTGTTGGCTGGCGTCGTTTGGCGTGCCCTTGTTCATGCTTACGCCAGCGGTGAGCTCATTCACTGCCGCACTGAGCTGCGTGCCATCCAGGACGGCAAGGTTTTGGCGCCATTGGACTCTGACGAGGCTGGCAACGAGACTGGCAATGAGGCTGTCACTGCAGAGCTCAATCGAAGCAGCAGCGCTGCTCAGCTGCTCAGCACCAACACCACCGCTGCTGTTTCAGCTGACGAGCCTCTTGTGGATACGCCCCCCGTGGCAGAGAGCAACGTAGACACGACTGCGGCTTCGACGGGTCCGGCCACTCGTTCGCCAGCCATCATTGCCGATGCCAACGCGGTGGAAAAGGTGTATTACTTTAGCGGGCCTCTGTTCTTCGGTTCAGCCACAGCGTTCCGCGGGGCCTTTGATCCCGCTCACGACCCGCAACGCATCGTGATCGACTTTACAGCAGCGCTGGTCTCAGATTTTTCAGCCGTCACCGCTCTGCGCGGTGTCTGCAAGCGGTATCAGCAGCTCGGCAAGGAGGTGATTATTCAGGGGCTCGATGCGCATAGTCGTACGCACATGCAACGGCATCGCAAACTGCGCTATCTTGCAGAAGAGGACCAGAGCCTTGAGGACGAGGGGGTACCGGCTGAGCCCCCGCATCACCTCAATTCACTTCACATTTTCCAGCCCGAAGGTGATGAGATTGGTCATTTCTCAATGGACGCTTCGGGCGACGACGCCGTGGCTGAGCTCTATCGCTCCAATGGAGATGCTTCGCTCAACGGCTCCACCGTCCGCCGGCGGCCCCACACCGCCACAAGCGTTGCAGAGGTTTGAGTACCCAGTATCCTCTCTCCGACTCGTGTGTGTTTTTTTGAGTTTTTTTTTTTTTTTTGCGAGCCACCTGAGGTTGGCTGTTCTCCCCCTTCTCTGTTACCTTGTCGTCGTCTTAAGTTCACATTCCAATGAACGTGTGAAGCTTTGTCTCTCTGTTTCAGGCCCTTGTATTCTTTTCTCCCCACGCCCATAGACGAATTGATTTGTTATCATGAAGAACTCATGTTGAGAATGTTGGTCACCCTCTTGTCACAGCTTGATCGAATCTCCTGATCATTAAAAAGGACGAGTCTGTTGAAATACAAGTTGATTGATGTATCAAGAGTCAATTAAAAGATGTCAATCCATGAACGACATTGTCGGCACAGCCAGACACAACAAAACAGGGGTGGTCAGTCCAGTGTGGCACACATCATTCACTGTCAGAGAACGAGCGCAGGTAAGTGCACCAGGCATCGGGACCAGCGGCAATGGCATCGACATTTTCATGTACATGAAGCTTTGTGGAAGGGGTCGTCTCTGACAAGTCAGACAAAGGCTCATGAACGACACCAGAGCATTGGCCAAAAGAATCATCACCCCAGCAGATGGCTGTATGCTCAGCCGTCAGGGCAATGGTGTGCGAACTACCGGCGGCAATGGCAACGACGGTGGCTGGGGGCAAGTGATCGAGCTGCGAGCACAAGGCCATGGTAGTGGATCGGGTGCTGTCATTCGGCGCGCGCCCTAAAGGTTGCGGGAGCGGGAAACACGGGTAAGAGAAACGATCATGGACAGCAAGAGCAAAGGAGCGCGACAGAATAAAGGCGTACATACCGAGTTGAGCCCGATGATTGCGACCAGCTGCATAGACGTCATGGTCATTAGAGAGGGTAACTGTGTGCCAAGCACCACAGGCGACAGCAATGACGCCAAGACCCTCAAGACTGGGGACGAGGACCAAAGTGTGGCGGTCGAGGGTATCGTCAAGTCCCAATTGACCCATGTGGTTGAGGCCCGCCGTTAAAAGCGTTCCCGGGTCGAGAATGACGGCCACATGAGCCAGTCCGAGAGCCATGTGAGTGACCTGACGTGCGGCCAAAGGGCGAGGAATGTCGAGGACTCGAGGCCAGGGGAAAGGGCTATCATGGTCATCAGCACGACAAATGCGTTGCTGGCCATGGGAATGGGCCTCAACGAACAAAAAAGGCTTGGACAATGAGCCGTTGCGCACTTTGTGCGACCATTCCACATGCTGGGCTGCGGGTGGTAGGTCAACGGTGCGGTGCACAACAATGGCACGAGCGTGGCAATGATGGCAGCAGCTCGTCAAGGCTTGACCAAGTTGATGTTGCTGGTTGATCATGAAAGTGGCAAAAAAGAAGAGCACATGGCTAACCAGGAGCAAACTCGACGAAGCTCCAGCCCACGTGCGAGGGCGCTTCCTTGGTTGTGCAAGAAGTTGACCAATGGGAGGCGCCAGCCTGGGCTGAGGGGAAGCGTTCGGGGGACAAGCCCAAGACCCGCCATCGTGTCGGGGATGCCATGCCGTCTGTTTCCTAGTAAAAAAAGAATCCGCCACAAAGACGAGGTGAGTTTCGGTTGTGGTACAAGCACGTGTCCATCACACCTCCTCGTCACGAGGGAAAAGAGAAGAAGAGAATTTATGAGAGCTACTATCAGATCGACCTTCAGTGAAACTCAGGCTGTCAGCGAATCTCTCATTGGTGGTTAATGTTTGCCGCATATGAAACGCGCAAGCCATTGCCGAGGCTTTTGCGGGATTAACGAACGGCAGTGTCACTGTGCTGTGCACCTCGTGGCACGAAAACAAGAAGACATAAAAACCAATCACACAGCCACGACTACAAGGGTTGACATGTTTGAGTGTTGGGCGGGTGCACGGGCGAATGCAATTCCTCGAATAGCTGCTGCGCTGCCATATCGGCTGACACGGTCACTGGTCTCACCTGCAGAGAAATGAAAAATGAGCGACCAAACCGACCTCACACACACACGCACGCACAAGAACAAGGGTGTCAAAAACTAAAACAACGTGGCCATGATTTTGGCTGTTAAATGATACAGAATTACGCCAAATATGACAATTAAGTTTGATGTGTTTTCCACCATAAAACGATACAAAGTCAAGCATGATCTGACATCCGCAACCCCCCACAACTACCATGTGAGAGACCGCGCCACACCTGGTAGCTCGTGTCGCAGTTCAAACGGCATCAGCGCCACTGCCATCAGGGGACCCGTCAAGGTCAGGCCCTGAAGCCTCCCCCACCCCGCCTCGCCATTCGACCACCACCCGCCCCTCTGGCCCTGCACAATCTCGAAAACGGCAGCCCAAACACTTGTTCAGCTCCACCACACCTTGACTGGTCTTGAGCACACACACTTTGCTTCAACCCTTCGATCCCATGACCCTCCAGCTACCAACCGTCATCCCTCTCTCTCCTGTGCCGCGACCAGATGTCGATGTCGTCTGCCGAATGGTAGCATCGCCTTCTAACCTCTCTCTCTCTCTCTCTCTGTATCTGTTGTGTGTGTGACTCTCTCTCTGTCTCTCTCTGTCTCTCTCTCTCTGTGTCTCCTGGGTTGCTGTTGTGCGGGTGAGGCCAGGCCGTGATCGATCTCCTCCCCGCGCCTCCGCCGCCTCTTTGAGCTCAGGGTGAGG